ACATTTCTCTAACACATGGGACAAAATGAAAAGACTCAAAGTCATAGCAAAAGGTCTTTGAAGGAACAAAAAGCACAAGAAAGGCATTGACGTTTCTAAAGAAGACGATATTGGCGTTTAGAAGACGTTGTCTAAAGACTTAGGTTTTCATTGTAATAAGCTCATTCAATTTCTCTACGTCATGGATCAAAACAAAATATGTTTTTATACATAAAATGAGTGTTTTCATAAATGGTTTTAAGTTTCTAAAACCCCTGGTTCTTGCCCAACCAAAACCATAACCATTGGCTATCGGCGTTCGGCTATGGCGTTCGGTTTTCGGCATTGGTTATTGGCATTGATTTTAGCCAAATAGTTTTTGGGTTTTTTATTTGTTTTTTTCTTCTGGACACATTTAAAGGTTTTCCAAATTATTAGTTTTCAAAAACCATAACCTTTGTTTTTTCGGCGTTGGTTATCGGCATTCGGCGCTGGTTATCGGCGTTGGTTTTTGGTGTCAAAATCAATCAAGTGGTTTTTAAGATTTTATGATTGGTTTGTACTTCTGGGCATATAAAAATAGTTCTCCAACAAAAACATGTTAAAAACCACCTTTCGTTTTTGGTCTTTTGGTGAAAACCATGCGAAACGGCATAAACTTGGCTAGCCGTGGTTTTTACCGTAATGAAGTGGTTTTTAAGTTTTTATACTTGGTTTCTACATAAAATACATTATATAAGAGTTTCCAACACTTTTTTTCATTTTGGAGAACTTTGGTTTTTGACATCGGTTTTCGGCGTTGGCTGCCAAACCATGGTTCTGGCGAACCATCCCAACATGCATGTCGGAAATCCCAACAGCGATGTAGGCATTTAGAAGTCCTTGGCAGTAGGTTTTTGAACAGCGATGTTCATTGTTGAACAACGATGTTTTCAAATGACTGTTGGGCTATTTAAGACAAAATTTTTCCATTTTTGAAAGTCAAACACCCCAACATCGATGTAGACTTTTAGACATCGATGTTTTGATGACCGTTAGCCATTTTTAAAGGAAATTCAAAGCCAAAACAGCGATGTTCACTTTATTAACAGCGATGTTAGGCTAAAATTCTGTAGACCAACTTTGATTTGATTTCGACAAATCATGCCATTAAACCCCAATCAACTCCCATCCGTTACACATCATTTTTGGGTATAAATAGGGGTATTTTGGGTCTACTTTTACCAACCATTCCTCACGCATTTCATAGCTTTACATTGCATCTGATGGGCCGATACCCACCGGGCGGCTCAAATGAATCATTTAAACAACACGGGTCAAGTGCTTGGAGAATGCTCAGGTTTGGGCCGCCCGGTGGGTATCGGCCCATCACAAGCCCCCCAACTCCTCAATCCTCGACTGGGCCAAGTTGAGGAATGGGGAGTTTAGAAAGTCCACGTGGGCGCTCCAGCGTGGATCCGGGCCGTTCCTTGGGTTCCGCGTGACATTTGGGTACGATCTCCACGAATAGGTAATCATGACATGCCGCTTCGCCTTCTCATTGTCAGTTAAAAACCGCCGCTGGACGCCATCTCTTTCTTTCGCTTTCTTCAACATGTCCGCAATTCTGCTGCTACCCGACCCGCTCTTCTTCCTTTCCAGGTCAGTTCCTCTTCTCGCCGCCATGATTGTTTCAGATTCCGATTCGGCTACCCCATCGTCCCATTCTCGCCAAGCCGACCAATCGGCCTCTGGCTGTAACCCCGGCCATACTCAATCACCCCAGCCGTCGCCGTCGGCCGTGTCTGGCCACAAACGGCGTCGATTGAGGAAGCAATTCCCTTCCTCAACCCCGGTAGATGAGGGCTCAAGGGTTGAATTGGACGAAAACATCATGGCGCTGTGCCATTGCCAGATTACTGACTGGGGGTTCGCCGATGCTACTGACATGGTTGGACCTTCCATTGAAGTCCTGAGACCTACCAGCACCCAAACCGCCCTGGACGCTCCTTCGGGGTTCCTCACGGTCCATCTGGCATCTTTAAAGAAGGGGTTGCGCTTCCCACTCCACCCGTTGTTGGTCGAATTCCTCAACGTGGTGGACCTTCTCCCGTGCCAGTTAGTTCCCAACTCTCACCGGTATATCGCCGGTTATCTGGTTCGATGTAAGGATGTAGGGGTGAAGCCCACCTTGGACCATTTCTTATTCACCTTTAAACTGACCAAGGGCCACAAGGATTGGGCGTCCTATGCCTGTCTCTCCTAGAGGTCGAGTAAACTCTTTGCTAGTGACAAGAAGGGGTCAACCAAAGATTGGAAACCTTTCTTTGTCTTCGTCTCGAAGGGGCCAAAATCTCCTTTCACGGGTTTAGGGTGCCCTTCCTTCCGCCGCGTCCCATGCCCCCCACCTGATGCCACCCTTGTATCCATCACTCGCCAAGTCTGCAACAAGGGAGTTCTGAGCATCAAGGAGGTGGTGACAGAGGAAACCCTTACCGGGTTGGGATTCGAGTTCGCCCAGGATGAGCTTCGTCACCAACCCGATCTGCTGAGGGACATTCCCGGGGGGCATCACCCTGACCAGCTAAAGGACATTCCTGAGGAAGGTCTTGACTGTGGTCCTTTTGGTAATTGACCTTTTCTTTTGCCCGAGTATTTAGCTTATCTTTTTTCAAGGCTAACCATTTCTCTTGTTTCTAGTGGAATTACAAGATTCAGGAGAAGAGATGGATGGCGAACTCCTACTCAATCGCTTCACCGCAAGGAGGAAGACGAAGAGAGAGGCGAAGAGCCAAGGCAAGCGCTCTTCCTCCCACCGAGAAGAGAGTCCTCCCCGGGAGCCAGCTGTGATTGTGGTGGAGGACCAAAATGAGGCTGCCCTGGAAGTGGGTACAACGGTGGGCCAGTCCCCTCCCCGCTCAGTGATGCCGGGCGGCGACCTTGCGGGGTCGTCCTAGGGAGCTGCCTCGGAGCGACCTCCCTCGCCACCCGCAGTGACCTACGAGGTGGCGACCGGGGGTCGCTCGACGAGGCTCTACATTCCTCCTCCGCCCCGAAACCTAGGGGATGTGCAACTGGAGACCCTGATCACCCTGCCTGCAGAGGACCAAGCTCGTATCTCAGCGGGTTCTGAGGACGACCTTGACAACATGGTCCTCTTGAGACTTAGTCAGGTACTTGTCTTGATTTCCTTGACACTGATTCTTCCCTTTACATCCCTAATCTCTATGCTCCAGTGCAGGCCACGCTGGGAATGATTGAAGTGGTCGGCAGGAAACGGGGTCGTTAAGCCGCCTCGGACGAAGCGATGAAGGCAGCCGAGGCCAAGCAGACGGAGTTGCAAGAAGAGGTCGTTGTGCCGCCCTTGAGATGGAGAAAGCTTCCCAAGAGGACCGCTGCGTCGCCCTTGAGGCAGACAAGGCCTTATTATCCTCTGAGGTGGAATCTGTCTCTGCTCGTGTGGTCGAGCTGGAAGGGGAGAAGTCTGACCTGATCCAGCAGTTGGAGAGGGAGAGGAGCGACCGGGTCCGCCACGCAGAGGAAGCGGTAGAATCCTTCAAGTCCTCTCCTGATTTCACGATGGTCGCGATGGAGCGGATGGACAAGCTAACAGCTGCTTGGCTCCAAACTGAACCTGGGGCTCAATGGATGGTCAAGGAAGGGACCAAGTCCTTCAACTGCGGACTCTTTCGCGCCCAACAAGTCTTCCCGACCTTGGCTTCCCCCCTCCCTGCCGCTCCTTGGCCGAGTTCGACACCAGTCCTTACTTGGACGGAGGGAGCTCGAGCGCCTCTTAAGGAGAAGAAGAAGAAGGAGAAGAAGATGGTCCAGGCGACCAGAATCCGGGGGCTAGCTTAGCCACGCCCAAGGCGGGTGGAAACCCCATCTCGAGCGTTTAACCCCCCTTACTGTCCTCTTTCAGTTTGTTAGACACTTGTAATTTTTCCTTCGGAATGACTTGTCATTTTCACACAATGCTCCCATGTTATTTGACTTGCTGGATTCACCATGTGCCTTCCTTTTTCAGCATCTTACTTCAGCACTCTCTTCTTTAGTTTAGCTAATTTACATGTATGTTTTAGTTTGGGCCCAACTTCTAATCCCGGCCCGATTATCTGACCAGGCCCAATCTCAGGATTGGCCAGCGTGCCGCCCAACTAACCCAATGCCCCTTTCAGTCTCTAATTGGACCTTCGCGCGGCTCGACGCTACTTTATCGGTTCAGTTGCCTTGGGACTTGACCGTCTCTTCGGTTTCTTCGCCTGGGCTTATTTATAAGCCCCCTAGCCTTCATTTTGTTCCATCACCAAATATTTTTCTTTTCTCCATCTTTGTCATGTCTGAAGGAATTCCTGTTTCTCTGAATCTTTCCGATGGGCCGGCTCCTTCTTCGCCGGAGCCTGCCTCCTCCCCCAAGTCAGTCAATTCCAATGACTGGGGGGGCTAGACCCTTACGAATTCTGTCGCCGATTGCCTCACCGGCAGTGGTCGTCGGTGAAACCGCCGCCAGTACTACCAAACCCTTATGAAGACTTCAGTGAGGCGTACAAGGCCCTCTCCGCCAACCGTCTGCCCGACGGGCGGATTGACTGGGATGCCCCATGCCCCCTTCATTCACTGCAATGCATGGCCTGGGAGAGCTTCCACGATGAGCACTTACCCCTCTTGGAGCATGAGTGCGCATATTACGCAAGTCTGGAGCGATGGACTAACGAAAGTCGCACCAGTTCACCAGTGAGTCCTAAGGATGAGGTTGTGTTGGGGGGAGAATTGGGTTCTTCCCTACCCCGCCCCGCTGGTCGCTCACCTCTCCGGAAGGCCCTTAGGCGACCTGGGGTAGCTCGAGCGTCTTCAGGGTCTGCATCCTTGTCTAAGTGATGCTGGTTTGGGTTCACACAAAGGTGAGCCGCCCCCGTCCTTCCTTGGTAGGGGAAGGACGGTGGGTTTTGCCGAGGCTGGGGGCGACCATTCCCGTTCCATGATGGGGAAGAAAGGTGGTCGCTCTGGACGGCCGGTGATAGGAGTTCTGCCGGCCTATACAGCTGCAGAACTACCCTTCAACCTTGCCTGTTCCCCCTGGGTCCTTCATCCTTTCTGGGCCTCAGCTGCTCACAAAGTTCTAGATTTTCCTTGTAAGAAATGTATGGGAAAGCATCCCTTCTTTTGAAAGTATGTAGAGATTGTTCTCAACTGTATTGTAATAGATGCAAGAGATTATCCTTGAAATGTAATGAACATTTTCATGAATGTATTTTGATGTTACCTGTTTACTTACAAGTTTCATCTTCTTCTCTTTCGCATCTCATTTTAAGCGTTCAGGTTTCCTCAGACCTTAATCAGAGAATACCCCGCCTCTTTTGACTTAGCCATTTCCGGGTTATTTTAACCCCTATGGCGTCGCCATACCTCCAAGATCCCCTGGTCGCTCATGCGATCAGCAGATCTTATGTTCCAGACTCAGCCGTTTTTTCAGGCTTTCTTGCCACGGCGTGGCCCTCTGGTTAGTCGCGTCACTTGACAGCCCTCAATCTTGGTCGCTTGACAGGGTTCGACACTTCATCCCCTGTTGGGTATCTTAGCACGAATCACCATACAGCTTAGGCTTAGCGATCTCTTTTTTTTTAGAATTGAAGACAAGATATGCCAGAATGCTGGTTTTATTAAACTTTAAGAGAGAAATATTACGTTTTCTGCATATGTGAACCCGCATACTTTGATGCATCGTCCTAAGCCATATGAAATAAGGATGGTATACAGGCTTTGTTTTGGGTATGCCGCAGCGCGTATTCAGAAACGTAGATTACGTACATAGGATTTGTCACTACTCTTTTTAAGAGATTAATGTCTTATGGGGCCCACTGATAAGTTATGACTGAGGAAATTGCATGGCCATGCTGAGATGCTTTTATGACGTCTGTTCCTATTAGTCAGCCTTGATAAATCAGTGAATGACTTAATGGATACAAGTTGGATTTTATTAATCCCTTGCATTAAGTTTAGACATTGAGACAAAGGGATACAGTTACACGGAGTCTGAGTCGTGGAAAGGTTTTGACGGTGCAAACGTCTTAACTTATAATCTGGGGGCAATAATGTGTTGCTAGATACCGCTTATTGCTTATAGTATTGGTGCAGAGCCAATACTGTGGCCAGCTTTATAAGTGCCTATACGGGTCACACACTTTGAACAATTTAAGGAGTAGGATTAAACAATGGGATAATAAGTAATTTGTATATTTGTAAAATAGTAAAATAAAATATTTTGGAATATAATATTATATAT